CGCCGCCGCGCCGCAGCCCACGCGTGGCCTCGCTCCTCCAGCGTGGGGCCGGGGGGACAATCTGCCTGGCGTCACCCGGAGATCTTCAGGGGTTGGGGAGGGATTTGAGGGCTGCGAGATGGGAATTCCGGCCGCCTGCTGAAGTTGATGGGAATTCGAAACTCTTGGGTAGGGAGCTGCCTAGTTGCAGCGTTTTGGAGAGGAGGGGAAGGGGCAGTCTGGGGAGTTTGGGAACAAAGGGAAAACAAACACCCTCTCGCAACCCGGAGCTTGGTAGAATGGTATCAAAGCTGTCGGCTGCCTCAGGGCTCCTAGGTGCGTGGCGTGTTAATAAATGCAACAGCAGCAATAATAAATCGAATCTGTGCTCCCACTCGGGCACAGGTATGTTCACACACGTGCGTATTCACGTACCCGCGGTGCGCGCGTACGCGGATTGATGTGGAAGCGCACGCAAGTAAACACGCTTCCCTCCTGCCTTCTAGCCCGTCTATTGTGCTTTTGTTTCTCAAGTTTTAGCATTACATCTCTAAATGAAATAGCAGTGGAGAGGACCCGGCAGCATTGTGAGCAGAGAGGAGCTGAGTCCACCCAGCCCTCCCTTTGATTGTATCGCGGGTGCAGAACAATGGAGATGCAGTGTAGCACCAGGCCTGCTGCCTGCAGATAAGAGTTTAATAGAATTTCTGAATGCCAAAGGTTTAGGATGTAAAATATCCCTGTCTTCGTGGTGTGTCCAAAGGAGATAGAAAAGCGCTTTTCAGGAGTACTCTCTGCTGAATACCTCCTTTATGCTAATGGCTTAGGAGCACACCAGGCTTGCAAGCCATGGAACTGGGCATCGTAAGAATCTCCAAAGCGGCCTCAACAGTTCAAATTTAGTATTTCTGTCACCCTCTCCTCAAGAAAATGCCCTAAATGAGAAATCAAATCGCTCTCCCCTGCCACGCGCCCTGTAATGGTCCGTGGGTGAGATGGGGTTGATCCGGCACTCCCTCAAGCCCACGCTGCCAGAACTGACAACGGGTGTGGGCCCAAACCTTGGGCAGCTTCAGGGGCTCTTCCCCTTCTTGCCTGCACCCGCCCCGAGTGGGGTGCTGAGGAGCTGGAGAGGGGTGGTCGGAGCTCCTGCAGCTCTGGAGCCGGAGTTTTCCACAGGAAAGCGCATCCCCAGCAGGATTCAACTTTCCCTGCCAGGCTCTGCCTCTGCTCTCGCAGCTCTCTAAAGGCTCCTGGGGTTTTCATCCATTTGTGAGTTCCCGCATCTTTTCAGAAATCTTCATTAAGATGACAGCAAAGCCTTAATCGTCCTGGCGATGCTGGGGATGGGGTGAGGGTGCAGGAAAAAGCCCTGGGTACAAAAGGGGACCTCCCCACACACCCCGTGGGGCTGCAGCTCGCCTGTGGTTTCCCCCCCCACTATTTCTGTAAAGTTGTAATCCCGGTGCTAACGCTCCCCTCCGGAGTGGGGGGGGCCGGGCTAATGCTTTTTCTGCTGCGTGGTGCTGGGGTCCCCCCCCCCTCTCCAGCTCGGCGAGGGCTTTCTCCCCCCCGGGGTGGCCAGATCTCCACCCAACAGAAGCATTTGCAAGGAAAGATGATGCTAGCTCCTGGAAAGTGCATCTCTGTCGGGGAGGAAAACATGCATAATGGAGGAGCATGCACTTTTCTCACTTAGAAACAATCCCCAAACTATTTTAGTCACCGTTTTCTTTTAGGACTTATCCTTATGGTATTCTCCTTCCCATCACGAAGCCCAAAACGTCACCGCCTGAGCCACGATCCGTCCTTCCCGCGGTGAGGCGACGTCTGCTGGGAATACGTTGTGTCATTTTTTTTTTTTTTTTTTTTTTTTTTTTTTTTTTTTTTTTTTTTTTTTTTTTAAGGGGAGGAAAAAAAATATTTATACACCTTTTAACCACTCACTTTTGAATATGTATATCAGCTAATATGCAATACTTCCAGGTTCATAGAGGCGATAAATTTCCCAGTCTGTTCTTTATGGTGATAGGTCATCTTCCTAACCACCAATAAATATTGTAAAGTACTTTCGCTGGAGCTGTGCTAACCCAGGGCATCTGTCACTCGCTGCTTGCTGCTATTAGGAATTATTGGGCCGTACCACGCGTTGGGATGCGCGGGGGGACGACACGGCACGGCGCTTGTCGCGCTCGCCGTCCTTTTGTGTTGCTGCTATCAAAGGAGCCCCGAGCCTCGTGCATATTAATTATGAATCAGCTCGGGTAAAATCACTCACCTTCTGCTGGGGCTTGGGGAGGGGGGAGCGCGAGGCGAGAGGGGCTGGCGGGGCTGGGAGAGCCCCAACTCGCTGTGCTCTCAAGTCAGCAGCTCCATCTCTCTCTCTCTCTCTCTCTCTCTCTCTCTCTCTCTTACTGTAAATTTATTTCACCTCAGAGAGTAAACAGATATATTGCAACCCCAAGGGTTCATGGGTAGTGTATTTACAAAGGGAAGGCGCAGCAAGCCCCCTCTGTGCCATTTCCATTAATGAGAGCGGTCATTAAGTAAATGAGACATTGCCTTTAGCAGGCTTAAGAGTTCACACACTAAGGAGTATCAGATATTTAATTGAAACCAACAACCCGTCTTACACGCGTGTTACTGGTGTAGGGAAGTGGGCTGCCCTCCAAGAACTCTCCCCCCACAACCTCCCCCATGCAAATTTCATGATTGGTTTCCGTGATGTCATTTTGCAAAGGGGCAGACAATAGCTGTGGGGAAAGGTAAGTCAATATTATGTTCTTTCGCTGACAAAGGCAGATAATGCTGGCTTTTTTTTTTTGCTTTTTTTTTGTTCCCTCTTCTTTTTTTTTTTTTTTTTTTTTTTTTTTTTTTTTT